AAATGCAGTTTAAAAAAACGAGTGTGGCCATATATAACATAAGAGCATTTCTTGTTGAGGTAGGCCAATTTCCTCTAAAAATTGCACATTTAGGGAGTTTTGATCAATTCCGACGAAATTAGAATTAAAAACACAAAATTTTTCGCGCGCTTCCTTTTATCTGCAACACAAAAAGTTATTATCAGGTGAGATGTAACCTCCAGGTCAAACCACTGCAAAGCTAGATCGTATCACGCGCGAACTTTCAAAATGATTAGTCCTCTTGTTCATGTTCATGTCCTAGGCCTACAAGCTAAAGCATCAACAAACATGTGAAGCTACAAAATCGTTTTGTAATAATTTTAATCATGCGGGAAATATCGCTCATTCATTGTGCACAGCCCAAAGCATTCGCCTTCTGGCTGCACACACATCATGACTGTAATTTTGTCTTGTTGTTCAGAAAGAAACTATAGAGTTTTGGAAAGAAACAAAATGGTGATGGAATTTCCACCACATAAACCGATTTTCGTAAAATAAAAAATGCAGTTGCAACGCTGGCAGGCTGTCTCGCACTCATTAAAAAAACGGTTAAAAAAATCAATTATTTTATGATTATCAGTAGAAACACACCCTAAAATTATTAAGGCGTCACTGTACTAAAGTATACAATAGGCCTACTGCAGTGGCGGCAGGATATAATTTATGGGGGGAGGGCGCTAAGATGTCCGACTGGGAGAGGGGGGGCTAAGTATTTATTGGTGTAACTATAGCACGCAGCATTATCTGAGGGTGGAAGGCCAGAGCCACTGGTGGGTATAAGAGGGGGAGTCCTGGAAATGGCTGTAATGGGAAAACAGGCCTTTTTTTTTTTTTTTTGGTCAGGCTGCCCGACGAGCTTTGGCCGATGGTGGGGCTTGACCAGACTGATGGGGGAGCTTAAGCTCCCTCTGGCCCCCCCGCTGGCGCCACCACTGGCCTACTGCCACATTATTTTGCTACTCATAACATATTGACAGTAGGCTATACTGGTTTTGGGATTCATGCAAGCCTCATCTTAAAATACCAACAACCAGTTAAACACAAATCGAACCTATTCAGCCTACAAAAACCGTAAAATTGAATACTAACTAGCCTACTTAAGGGGTATACAGTATGCAAAGAATATAAAACATAGATTTTATTATAGGTTTAATGCCAGAAATAAGATCTAGATTTATAGTATATGTAATAAGTTATTATTACAAATATTGTACTTTGATAATAATGCATCAACTGATAAAGCTACCAGTAATTTATCTCTTTAGTTATTTATTTATGTATTACAAGTATTATTTAAATTGTTTATACTACGGTAGTCCACCATAGGGTCGTATTAAGCTATTTAAAAGTCAAATGAATTACTGTGTGACATCTGTCTTACTGTATACTTATATTAGATAATTATGCTAAAATGCAGTACCCATTGTGTTTTCCTCATCGTAAAATGGCTGGCATGGTTTTTATTCTAAAAATTATTTTTATCAATTTGGTTGGTTCTCGTGAAAAATGTTGGAGAAAAATGGCTTCACATTTATAATTTTAACTCAAAATTGTCCAGTCAATATAATAATGAGAATGGATGTAACATATGTCGCTAATTGCCTTCAATACTGCATGCAACATACTGGTATGACTTGCTCATTGTATTTCAACATTCTCCTGTGCATACAATGGCTACAATCTAGCTGAATTTAGGCCCAATAAAAAAAAAACATTTTTATCACCCTCGCTGCATATTTTCTATGGTATTGAAAAAAAAAATTACAAAAATACAAAGTATTGTACATTACTTTGATAATAATGCATCAACTGATAAAGCTACCAGTAATTTATCTCTTTAGTAATTTATTTATGTATTACAAGTATTATTTAAATTGTTTATACTACGGTAGTCCACCATAGGGTCGTATTAAGCTATTTAAAAGTCAAATGAATTACTGTGTGACATCTGTCTTAATGTATACAGTTAATATTAGATAATTATGCTAGAGTGCAGTACCCACTGTGTTTTCCTCATCGTAAAATGGCTGGCATGGTTTTTATTCTAAAAATTTCTTTTTATCAATTTGGTTCTTGTGAAAAATTTTGGAGAAAAATGGTTTCACATTTATAATTTTAACTCAAAATTGTCCAGCCAATATAATAATGAGAATGGATGTAACATATGTTGCTAATTGCCTTCAATACTGCATGCAACATACTGGTATGACTTGCTCATTGTATTTCAACATTCTCCTGCATACAATGGCTACAATCTAGCTGAATTTAGGCCCAATAAAAATTTAAAAAAAAACATTTTTATTGCCCTCGCTGCATATTTTCTATGGTATTGAAAAAAAAATTGAAGAAATTTTTTTTATTTTTTAATTTATTTAAAAAAAAATTAAATAGTAGATATTGTTTGTATTATCTCAATTATGTTCTACTTTGCATCAATGCCCCAGCAAGCAGCCCAAGGCTGATATTTGCGTTAGCCTCCCTCCCTCACCAGTTTTCCAGCCTAGATAGGGTGATAAACTAATAATATTTTTTAGCCTTACACAGGATTCCAATTTGAGATAACTTACTTACTAAAGAGTTATTGACAGAAATGATTTATTTATAGATTTTTAATAATAACTATTTATTATTAACAATAAAATACACCCAATTATAGAAAAATTTAATTTGAATTTTGTGACTATGTGAAGAAGACATGCTCATTAATTAATGCTGCTAGGTAAGAATATATATTATTTTAAATATTCTCCTCAAGAGAGTCAGAGTAATAATGTCTTAATTTCTAATTCAGTAGATTTCGTTTAGTTCTAAGATAAATCATTTATTGATGTGAATTTTTTAGTGTATTGTGGGTCCCCTCGGAAGGCAGTGATTATCAATGTCATAGTTATACAAAAGTTTTAATTACGAATGTAATTTAGCCTTATCAAAATTTTGAACGTGTAGGTAAATTTAGAATGTCGTATGTGAGTGCTAAACTCTGGAACCTGTTAAGTTAAGAGAGATCACTTTGGGAAAATTATTTGTTGCAAAACTCCAAATATTACTTTATTCTAAGTATAAAGATTGATGCCTATTTATTTATTTATTTTGATTATTTTTATTTTTTGTGTTTTTTTATATTTTAAATTCTGGGAGGGGGGACTGAGGGGGTTAGAAGAGAGGCGAAAAATTTTATTAGACTTGTCTATTTCTTGCCTTCTATTGTATACTATTTGTATGTATTTTTTTTTGTGCGTATACAATAAAATGTGAAGAGAAGAGAGGACTACACTCCTAAAAGAAAATAGAAATAAATAAAGAAATCTGAAAGAAATAAAAGGAAGGTAAACCAATGTCTCAAAACCATATTTGGTATGTGTGGTGTACAGTACCAGAATAACAAATGTTAAAGTTGCCCTTTGACCTTCCACAGACATTGCTGAGAATTTCTATACCTTGTTTAGCGAACCCCCCCACCAGCCAATATTGATGATTTCGAATAAGAAAATAAAATTTTATTTTTCGACAATTAGCTCAATTGCCACTAATATAAAATGCAAATTTTAGATTAGAATAAAAGTTTTTCTTTATTGTTATTATGCCCACTGCTGCCTTGAAATCTTCAAAAATAAGATATGTATTATAATTCTACCTATATATAAATTTAAAGCATTTAACCCTTTTATTTATACTACATATTATACTACATATACTATTTATACTGTTTATATTCAACAATAAAATTTTATTTTTATTTTCTCCTTTGTCTGAATGTTTTTGACAAAATCATAGAAATCAAAATTTTATTTTAATTTTTCTTCGGCCCTCTGATGATTTAAAAAAAATAAGTTTGTGAAACAAGCAATAAAAAAGTCTCACCTAATTAATATTCATTCTTTTTTTAAACTTTTATGAAAGTAGAGTGTAAATAACTCTCATTTTTAGTAATGTTTCAGTGTAGTGGTTCAATCAGTATTAATCAGTTTAACTGTATCTTCATTTAAACTGAATCTAAATAATAAAATTCATTTAATATTCATTCAGTCAAGATCATATCTTTTTAATTTGAAGTGTGTAAGTAGGCAGCCTTAAAAGGATTTCCTATTAGTACTATGCATGTCATAGGAAGTAGTAATACTGTAGGCTAAAATCTAGACAGAACATTATAAAGTGGATATGAGAAGGAAGTCATGGAGAGAGAAACCACCATTAGTTACGTAAAGTTACTATCATGTGATTTTATTCATTGCGTATTATGTAATACCTTGAGAGAAAAAATGTCTCCTAATGGGAAAACTCAAGGGTGTACCACTTGGCCTTATAAATAAGCCCCTTTCAGACAGACCTGCAAGCCTGGAATACCGCAATATTGTGGTGAATCCCGCAGGATTGGGTTTCTATCTGAAAGGGTTGATACACCAATATGCCGGCTTACTTTAGGCCACTTTGCACCCTAGTAATATTGCCGCGATGTTGCGATAACGGTTACTGGCTTGCTCTGTCTGAAAGGGTCTGCTCGATATTGCCGCAGTCAAGACGGCATGCATTTATGCATAAACAGACAAGGTTTAAGTAGAAAACAATTGCACGGCGGTATTTAAAATGCCAATATTACCGCCATTCTTTTGGACCTTTTCAGACAAAAATGCGTAAGATTACCGCAATATTAACAAAAGCGCTGTGTGAAAAGATATAGACCAGTTATTATACCGGCATGATTAACGCAATATTGCGGCAGTGTCTATCTGAAAGGGGATATAGTAGCTCAGTTGGTTGACTATCCGAACGGTAATGAAGGTCTAGGGTTTAAATATTAATGCATAGGGACATGTTTATTCAGAACTATTTATTATCAAATTGAATACGGTATAAAGACGTTTCAACTAAAAAATTATGGTATTATATACAATTAGGTGCAATTAGGCAGATATTGTATGGTAGTTTAAGCCATAATTTAAACCATAAAGCTATTAATGTTAAAAATAACAACATTTTATATTTATTGGGGTTTCCAGCAGACAATGACATTTTTTGCAGGGTCAATGAAATTAGTAACCTTTGACACCATTAATTTCATTTTATTATGAATACATTATGTGTATACGATATGAATATTGAAAAATCAATGCAAGTGATTTGATAAGCTAAAGCATTGGTGAATTATGGCACATGCTTTAACTAGCTTATCATTTAATCTGACTCTAATGAAGCAGGTGGTAACTCATTGTCTCTTGGAAACAAACCTTTGTTCTACTTTAATTATCGTAGTTCCTCTCCTATAATCCCACACCCCCTCCCATTGAACACTGGAATGGGCCAATATTTGGGTGTGGTCTTGTACCTGGCCGAGAATCTCCCTTTTTAATCAAATGACAATTTTTTAGCACAGTATATGCCTACTTCAGTCCAATAGTATATTTGATGAATATTGTAGTTTAAGTATCCTGGGCTTTTGCCTGAGAAAAAGCTGGTACATAAAATTGGGCATAAGGTAGATGGTGGGCTTATAACCGAGGTGGGATTATAATTAACGAAATATGGTAATTATCATTATTCTTCTTGTTAGAAAATTGTAGAATTATTTTTAATTACACAATGGAATGACCTGTCAGCAATTATAGTGTACATAGTTGGACCTTGGTGATGACATTCAAGAATGTACTGAATAAAATTTAAATGAATATAAAATTTGTTTTTTGTGATAAATATTTAAAAGGAATATTCAATTGTTGTATTTAAACAAAATATCCTATATTTTGGCCAGTATTTGGGCATTGAAGTTGCCCTATTTAAAGGAGAAAATTGTTTTTCACTTGTGAGGAAATGGGGTTAATGTGGGTGAATTTTCAGTTTTGTAGAATAGCATTTTAAAGATCTAAATTAACCAACTCTGACCCTTGACCCAGCAAGGGATTCTAGGTGACCCCCACATCCCAATTAGTGCATATGTGTACCCTTGCCTCCCCCAATGGAAATCCTGAGTAAGCCTCAGGAACTCATGCCATCATAATACAGTTTACTGATTTAGTTGACACTTAGGGTGAAAATATTGATGTGTCAGACAGAGTGTTGAATGTATTGATTGGATGATGGGTTGGTTAAAGGTGGCCTTGTTGGCTGATAATGAAATATTGAACACATTTTCAGGTTAAAAATTTTAATCCAGCAACGAATGCCAGTAATAACATGATAATAGAATAGAAACAATGTTTATAGGCCCCACGATCCAAGGTTGCGATATTTTTGAAAAACAGTTACTTCAAAAATGTCCACAATTTCACTTATTAGCATATGATGAGATATCCTTACTGCATAGTATGAGTAAAACTCCCTCGTCGGAAACGACTTGTTTGACCAAAGCGAGTAAAAAATTATTTAACAATTTTTGGAGGGGTAAAATTGAGTTAAAAATATATTCTAAAATTATCTCAAAACAGCTTAAAAATTACCCAAAATTGCTTAGTTTCTTTAGGTAGCAGTGGGCTTAGCCCATGGATTCCCGAGGCTTCACCCCTGGACCCTGTAAGAATTTGTCAGATTCACCTGATTCTACAAAATTAATTTCAATAATAACTAAATTGTTTTATTTTCAGCAAATTCCTGGTGTGTCACCAACAGGCCGTTATACCACTCTGGTTCCCCTTCTGTTTATCCTCTTTGTTTCCGCTGTCAAAGAAATCATTGAAGATTTTGTAAGTATTACATAGTTTGGATTCATAATGCTTTGCATTTGCAAATTCTCTAATGGGATAATTCCTGTCAACCTCTTAAAAATGTTTTCCTAATATAAATCTGACGTTCAATAACAATCATATTTTACTATATTGTCGGAGGTTCGAGCTTTCACTGTGGATTATACTTGTGTTCTTAGACAAGGCAATTTATTTAGGTTTGTCTCTCTCCACCTTGGAGTATAAATGGGTACAGTTACTTGTTTGCTAGGGAAGTTCATAAAAAAGGTGGCATGGAGAGCACCTGGCCACCCTAACACACAATGCTAAGGCTTCTATGGGCTAACAGCTCATTCCCCTACATTCAGTAATGAATGCAGGTCTACTGTACCTTGCAGTACCTTTACCTGATGTGTTATAAATCATTATAGACTACTATCTAAAGCTTATGTTTACGGAACATATTGAAATCGCTTTTCTGGGTTTAGTTTTAACTACCTGAACAACCTCTATTATTTACTTCAATAGCCACTGATGTAGAAATAATATATTCTTGGAAATGTTAACAAATTGATTAAAAATGTTTTCTTTGCTTTCAGAAAAGACACAATGCTGATGTGGAAGTTAACAACAGGAAAGTACAAGGTAAGAACTCAAATATCTAAATTTAATTTTTTTTTTTAAATATATATTAATAAATAATAAAAATATGTGCCAGAATGTCCGCTAGTGCTTCATCTTATATTTCGTCAAATATCTAAATTTAATTAAAAAAAAAATATATATATTAATAATTTATATTTCAAGGTGTCAGACCCTTTGTCAGATAGTTTAGCGATCTTGACTAGAATGTAGAGGTTTTACTCTTCTCATCATAATTTGTGTTAGAATATAATTTCTATAGGTGTAGTAAGATTTGCTGTTTTTAATAAGAATATAAGTGCAGTTTAACATTAGATAAAGGAATTTACATCAACGTATTTGTGACATTTTGACCATTTGAGGCATGTTGTGGTGAAATCGTTAAGAATTGTCGCACAGGCCAGTATTGAGTAAGGGAGCTCAAAAAATTGCCTAAAAATCTAACTTTGTTTTTCACTATAGATCAACAGTTTAATGTCTTAATAATCATGTCCCAAAGTATTAGTTCTTGAAGTGGTCAACAAATGGTTTATTTAATGCTATTTTGATAGTTCATTCCATTAAAACGATGTATGCACAAATAACTTTGAAAGGCAATTACTCAAAATCATGTTTATCTTGACTCTAAGAGTACTGTACTTTCACTTTCCAATAACTTAGGCTTGAAATGTCCAATTTCAA